GAAAAATGAAGCTTGCAGTTGATTTTGACACTTCTGATGGGCTTTCAGGGAGAAGGTAGTCCCCACAACACATGGCAAAGAACATCATCCTTCCTGCATGAATCAGACAGGTCACATCAGCAGCCAATGCGGAGTATGCAGCTGAAAAAGAGACATGCTTCTTGAATCCTGGACTCCTCTTTCAAATTCTCCACAGGATTTGTAATCCAGAAGTTTGGTGCATATGCTAAAAACGTTAAAGAAAAACAAGCTGAGATTTCCTTATTAATTTAAGCAATCAAAACACCGAGCCCGAGAAGGCGGCTGCCTGGTAAGACTCCTTGCCCATCTGTTATGGTACAAGGCAAAACACCTAAGCCACACTTCCCTGTTCCTAGACAGGTAGACGGGGCAAGGCTGTAAGGGAGCAAGCAAGTGAGCAAGCATGCCTCAACAGGCATGAGCCAAAAAGTTCCACCATTAGCTTACCCTGTGACTGCAAGGTCATTTTGGCAAGAACTTAACATGTTGATTTTAGACTGTGAACCACAATGGTACTGAAAACATGACATAGCATTTATTTGCTAAGATAATATTAAACTTTTTCTTTGAAAATCAGGAAATGAACCAAAGTAATTTCAGTTTTAAGTACCAATGAATCAATTATCTGTCAAATATTATAAGGAATGAAGGACTGAAGTCACAAGTACATGGGGAGAAGGATACCTGAAGAAAGGTCATCACCTATGAAAGAAAATGTTTCTTCATATCAGAAAGCACCAATCAGTCTGGAGAGTCCACATAAAGAGAGAATAACGGAAAAAACAACAGAAATTCTCAACAGGAAGAAATATGCTAGAATTCACCCGATGTCAATGGGAGCATACAACCCCTGACAGGCAATTATTCTTTGATCTATTGGCAGAAGCACAGAACAAACATTCTGAAATTCCAGATAGGACCTTGTGCAGATCATCACTGTGGTCATCATGATGGGCAGTTTTCTTTCATCATCATCAAGAGCCTTTTCAGAGCAGTGACAGTAAGAACCATCCAGAATGAGAAAGAGTTTTCCTTCAAGGTGTATAGGCCAGTAAGACAGAATTTAATTGTAAATTCAGCTGCCCATCAAGCACAGAAACACGATTACTTACCAACTTCTAGACACAAAGATGCATCTACATGTCCAACTGCTCACTGATGGGGACCAAAAACTACATTCAGCACTGCAAAACAGATTTTTCTCATCTGTAATTCTAAAGTAATAAGCAAAGTGTCTGAAGTGTGACCCTACAGAAAAATGGAAAAAGCTGACACGAAGGGCTGGCATAAGTCTTCTTAGCATCTTCTGTCTGTTCCGTAATTCCTGAATGGGGGGTAGTGGTGTCAAATTTAAGGACCTCTTATACAGTGCTACTTAATTGTGAGGTAATTTCCACATCAAAATATTCAAGGTGAAGACCATGGCCTACAGAAACATGAGCTCTGCCATCAGCTTATTAAACAGATTCTAACTATCACAAATTAAAACCCAAGAATTACAGGTCAAAGTCCTGCAGGCAAGACAGTCAACCCTGATTCGTGCCACATTACATGTAACTTAAGCCCTGAAACCTAGTTCCAACTTTCAATCGCAATTATGACAATTTCAAGAACCATTCTTCAGATCTCTTCCTCTACTCCTTCTCCTGTTCCACTCTTCAAACAGTGTGCCAGCCAGGTTTTGTCTTCACTTAGGCTTTACCATCAACAACGCAGTTACACCAGGGCAAAGCCTTTGCCTAGAACAGCATGCACTACGACTGCTGCACTTTACTAGTTTGGCTGAGATGCAGAGAGGTGAGGCAAGCTACTGCTTTGCTCCTTCTCGTCGATACAACGATGCACCATGATGACAGCTCAAATCCCAGCATAGACAACGCTTCAGAAGCAAACATACTCCTAAAACCTTCACCAGAATTCCAGTATCTACAAAGATATATACATAATTACCTCTCGCTTCTGACTGAGAATTCAAATATATGTTCAGGTGATAGCTTTACAACTACAAACTGTGCTTTACAGCCATTCTATTCAAAACGCTGGCTGTAAAGCATACTGAACCGAGAGCTGAAGCTCATAAAAGCTTATTTGCAGAAAAGGTACGTATTAAAAACGAATAGCAAACAGCAAGCAGCATTAAAATGGTCTTCCAAAGCATAATGCAGTAGGCAGTGTAAGTAAAGCAGGAGGAATGGACACTTTCTGCCCCCTGCAGTTTCCACTGCTATCTAGATTTTTAAGACAGCCTTAGGAGGGATAGTACATTGCCATTCTAGAAACCCAACAATTTACATCTGGCTATCACCAGACAGCCAAAGCATTTTTTACAGCTAGGTTCATCTGACTAACAGTTAAACTGACCAGTGCTTCCCATTAACGATCAACCACATATGTCGAATGTTTTCTGTAATAAATGAATGATGCGACTGTCCTTGATTTTGCAACAGGAAAGAACCCACCTTTTACCAAACCTTTAATCTGACTTCATCATTCTGATTAGGATTAAGAACAAGGATCCTCACCAATAAATAGGTACTCTTAAGCAGTCAGAGCTATGCTCCTAAAATATATATACACACATACATAATATATGTGTATATAAAATATTAAAGGACAAAGGATTGTTTTCTAGTTATTAGACTATAAACATGCCTCCAAACAGAAAATACCATTTATTAAATTTTACATGTAAAACTGTAAGGCATACGTACAAACAGAGAATTCCAGTAAAGAAAAATTCCATAGAAGGTCTCGTGTCCATATGCAGAAGAGGTAAGTACCGTAACTGTCCTTTATATACTTTCTTCAGTCTTTATGAATATAGTCTTGGAATTGAACCCCAAATTCAGCTAGCCAAAATGTTTCCCTATATGTGATCATGTACTCCCACAAATTTTATGTTGGATGAATCCAACTATTTTCAGATTGGTAACCTGCTTAAAAAAAGTGGGGGAAAAAAAACAAACATTTTTAGCATGTATTTGGAAAACTGATGTTTCCCATGAGACGATAGATAATTTTGAAACAATCCTGTTCTGCTTTATGAGCCTGGATGTGCAAAGAGGAAGTGAGAACAGATTGATTACAATGGAATATTATTTATATCCAGCTGTTTTTTCAAGCAATGATGAACACATCACTACCATTAGATTTCAGAAGAAAAAACACAAACTCTTGCAGCATACAAATGGTATGCAGGTTACAAAGGATGCTCCACATTTAAAAATAAAATTTAAAAAAAAGCTGAAGTGGTAATTTTGCTAATGAAATTTTATTTTCAGTCTTCCATGTAACACTTGATTTGTCTAAGACATCTTCCCTCGCTTGTATTGTTCTTCCACAGCACACGTATAATTTTTTTCTTCCATTTAAGCCATAACTACCATGTATTATATACCAATTTGTATTTTGACACACTAAAGGCTAAATAAAACCAGTTTTTGACTCATATACTTCGTAATATTGACTTGTAGGGGATTATAAATACTGAAAACAAGTTTGACTACATTTTGCAGGGCTATCAAATGACTAAATACATTTAAAACATGTTTCTTCTCAGATTCCATTTCTTCCTCTTTAAGTAAAAAACTGGAGAGCTGGATTGTCCCAAGAACATAAATGGAACACAGAAAAATGCTTAGCCACCTCACCCCTGGAGTACATCTTTCATATTCTAGTTCTATGATGAATAATAAACTGAGCAGCTTAATGCAAAGCAGCCGGGATCAGAAAGTTTTCAATGGGTTGCCTCACCATAAACACAATCTGTGCTGTCCCAAAACCCAAGTTTTACTACGTGTAGCTGTTGCACTCCCCTCCTCAGTCACGAATATGATGACTGATAGAAATCTGCCAAGTCACTTTGAAGTAAAAACTAGTTGATTCTAGAGAAAAACAGCATTTAGTTGCATAGTGAAGAGAGAAGTCCTCCAGAAACACACATGTGGACAGGGATGGGATTTCATAAGATAGGTGGGGAAAAGTGTTCTTCCTCTCACATTCTGCCTCATTAAGAGATTTTTTTTTTCCTGCTGTTTGCCTGCGCAGTGCATGCCCCAAGCACCAACACATTCCGAGAGCAAACTCCCCTCTTCCCTTCCGTGCCCTCCAGACCCAGTCGCTTCCTTTTCTCCCCCCTGCCCCACCACAGCAGGAATTCCCTTTTCCAAGTGGATTATCAGCACGAGCAGCTTTTTTTTTTTTTTTTTTTCTTACGGAAAAAAAAAATAAATAAACCACTGTGTGTCGTTGTGTGTGTGTGTGTGTGTATCCCGGCCTGCAGGACGCCCAGACACGCTCCCAGCCATTGTGCCTCCCCGCTTTCCCCCACGCACCCGCCCCACGCCCCGGGCGGCCCCAACGCAGCCCCCCCCCCCCCCCCCCCCCCCGGGGCTCCCCCGCCGCGCCCCGGCGGCACAAAGCTCCGCCGCAGGCCGGACGTGCCCGTTGCCCCGGGCCTCCCCTCCCCCCGCCCCCCTCCACCGTATTCCGGGAAACCCTCGCTGCCTCCCGCACCCCCGGGAGGAGGAGGAGGAGGAGGAAGCGCTGCGGAACAGCCTCGCTGCGGAGAGCCGTCCCCACCGCCGGGGCAGGTGGCAAAGGAGGGAGGCCCCACCGGCGGGCTGCCTCCTCCATCCCGGTGACCGGCTCCTCTGTATTCCCCCCCCCCCCGCCCCCCCCCCACCTCCGGAGGCACGGACCGCTTCCTCCTCTCCTCCTTTCCCCCTCACGACCGCATGCCGGAGCCCGGGCCCCCTTCCCGGACGGCGGGGCGGGGATGGGGCAGGCTCGGGCCCACCTGCCCCGTGGGGAGGGGGGGAGGGAGGGAGGGGGGGAGGGAGGGAGGGCGGGCGGGGGAGCCATCCCCTCCCCGCGGCCAGGCCGAGGCGGCGGCGTGTGAGCGGCGGGTGGGTCGGTGGAGGGAAGGGAAGGGAACGGCGGGGAAGGGAAGGGGGGTGGGTGCGAGCCGCCCCCGGTACCTTGCGCTTCCTGGTCTCGGCCGAGCCGCTCCACACGAAGCACTGGTAAATCGCCCGCAGGTTCTGCTTCCAGTTCTCCACCTTGAAGCCGGTCACATGGCAGCACCCGGCCGCCGGCGGACTCATGTCAGACCCCCCCACATCAATCCGCCCGCAGACGGGCCGGGCCGGCGGGCAGCGAGCCGGCCCCTTCCCCCCCTCCGCAGCAACCGCACGGACACGGCCGCGGGCACGGGCCGGGGCGGCCGCCCGCCCCCCCCGCCGCCCCCCCGCCGCGCTCCCGCCCTCCGGGGCTCCGGCCCCTCACGCCGCCGCCTGCCCCGCGGCCTCCGCCGCCCCCGCCGGCTGCTGTGGGGGCGCGGGGAGCGGCTGGCACATAGAGCCGGGGCTCCGCGCCGCCACGGCCCCCCGGCTCCGAACAAAGCGCGGCGGCGGCGGCGGGCGGGCAGCGCGCACTCCCTCCTCGCCCGCCCTTCTCCCTCACACACAAAGATGGGGCTCTCTGAGGCGAGGAGGAGGAGGAGGCGGCGGCTGGAGCGGCCGCTGCCGCCCCCGGAGTGGCCGCCGCTCCCTTCTACCTCATAGAGGCCGCTGTGGAAGCGGCGGGCGGAGGGGAAGGGGAGGGAGGGAAGGAGGGGGGGGGGGGTGGGGGGGGGGGCGCTGGCGGCGGCGACCCTGGCCGCGGTGTGAGCGAGGGTGTGCGGGGAAAGGGGGCGAGTCTCCGCCCGCCGCCGCTCCTGCTCCCCCAGCCGGCCGCCCGCTCGGCTCTTGTCTCTTTAAACCGCCCCCCCCCCCCCCACCGCCCCCCCGCCCTGCGCGCCTCCTTCCTCGTCTCCTTCCTCCTCCTCCTCGCCCGCACCCCCCTCCGCCCGCCGTGAGCAATGGTCCGAGCCGCTAACTCAACCTAGCCCGCCAGGCCCGGAGTGGGACAGACCAACGGGGAAGGGGCGGTAGGCGCTCCCCCTCCTCTGCCCCGCCACCCTTGGGGGAGGGAGCCGGAGCGGGAAGCAGCGCGGCAATTGGTCCCTTTGCCTGTCACTCCGCCGCTGAGGTGTTCCTCTCTAGCGTCTCATTGGTTTCTTTGCCTTTCTTCTCCCCCTCCACCCTTCCTACCTAGCATTTCCCCCTGCCGGAAAGGGGCGGGAAGGGCTAGGCCGATTGACGGGACATTCGCCCAACGAGGAGAAGGAGGCGGGGCCCGGGTGGCGAAGGTTGCTGCATGAATGGTCAGGACGGCCGTCAGTCACGCGCCAGGACGACAGCGGATTGGCGTCGGGCGGCTGAGGGGGCGGTCCCTCCCGGCAGCAGCCTGCGCCGTGGGGGCAGCGCTGCTGTCACATCCGCTGGTCCGGGCTGTTTCGCTGCTCCCTCAGTGATTTCCTGAGGGGAGAGGGGCGGCGGCGGCGGCCGGGCCGCTCCCCAGGGCAGGGCTCCCGCTCTCGGAGCACGGCTGCCTCCCCGCCCGTGCCCCTCTGAGCTCGGCAGCGGCTCTGCCTGGCAGCCAGCGCCGGGCGGCTGTGCTGTTAACGGCCTCCGCGCCTCACAGGGCTCTCCCCCGGCCGTGGCTCCGGTAATGCCGCAGCCGGCCCCGGTTTTGCTCAGCCGGTATTGCGCGACAAAAATCAACACGAGAGGCAGGCCCTTCCCCCTCCTTGTCGTTCGCAGGTTCAAAAAGCCGACTGCGGCTTTGTGGGGGCGGGTCTGGGTTTAACAGGCCTCGTCGAGCAGCGAGATCGTTGGGGTCTGGGGAGAAGATCGGTGCAATACTCCGATTTGCCATGAGGACCATATATGGTCCCTCTATACAGCCGTCCTCCTCTCCTGGTGTTTCCACAGGGAAGAAACTGAAGTAGTGTATAGCCAGAACTGGTATTATTTCAGCTTTTTCCTATAAATGACTATAGAAGGAAATGAGAAGACAGTGAAAAAATTTTCAATCTGTTCATAGTTCTTAGCTTGTGTGCCACACACACTATAGGATTACATAACGGTGGAGTGAGACAAGAGGAAAAGGATGGGAATTCTGCCATTATTTGTGAAAAGAGTCAGGAGGCTTTGCAGCAACCAGGTTCTTACACAGGCCATGGAAGGACTGCAACAAGAAAGGTATTGGTTAAGTACCACTGCATTATTTTATCAATCCATTTTTCAGTACATGCTATTTACATTCTTTCTCAGGAGCTATAACCTTGACTCCTTTACCTGGCAGATTTTTATGAGGCCCTCTCCAGCTCCCTGGTCCACTGCTGCAAGTTGCAGAAACCAAAGACAATTGCAACTACTGTCTGAGGATAGAATCACTTTCCATTTTCTTTAGAGGTGCTGCCATTAACAAAAAAAAAAAAAAAAGGCATCTGGTAGTAAGAGATGTTTTTTTTCAGGATTCATGTACAACTATAAGGTTTGGTGGCAAAGCAACTGGGGAATACAGGGCTAGCAAAAGACCAGAGCTTATTCCATCAGATTGTGAAGCAGCAGCAGGCCACGCTGTCCTGCCAGCATAGCTGTGTGCCATATGGGAGACCTCCTGTAATGGTAACATGGATTGTTCAGTCTGCCTGGCTTGTGCTGCTTGTTAGCCTCTCACTGAAATCCCTCTTCTGTGCAGTTTGGGGATTACGGCTCCAGCAATAAAACTAGAATTACCCCACAGGAGGAAAAAAAAAAAAAAAAAAAGGATGCCAAGAGACAAGAAGGGGTCCGATTATCCCACTGGGTACGCAGGCTGGTAGAAGTTGCTAGCTGCACTAAATGTTTCAGAACATGGCGTGTGAAATTTGGAGTGAGGCTCTACCCTCTCTTTGACCCTACATCATCATCATAGTGAGTATGCAACCTACACCGCTTCTCGAAAAGGGAACAAGGACTGGTGCTGCACATACTTCCCACATGTTAACCTGTCAGCCTCAGAGGCACTGCAGCGTAACACTTCCAACCACAGCCATTCCAGTGCTGCAGCTCTGACACCACCTACTCACCCTAATGCACCAGAGAGACTAGGAGCCGTAACAGGACTTCTCAGCCCTCATCCTTTATGCATGAGAAGGTCTCTGCACATGCGTGACACCTTCCTGATGCTAATGAATACAGCTTAATGACCCCAGTGTTAAGCATTTCCAACATCAAGGAATGGCTGGACGTCTTGCTAAGACAGTCGTTCCCCACACTCTGACTGGCTCTTTTATAAACATAAGAAGCAGTACGAACCAATTAAGCTCTGTTTTCTCCCATGCTTGGGACAAGCTCCCTGATGATACCTAGGTAGCTTCCTCTTTCCTTCCTTTGAACTGCTTATTAGGACCCTTTGCTTGCAGCACACACAAAGAAGCTGAGTCTCACTAAACAACTTGGATATCGATACCAATGTTTACCTGATGGTTAGTAGATTGTTTCCCTGAACTCTCAAAATCTCTTTCTTATTTTGTCCTAGCTCCTAACATGTTTGGAGCAGGGATTTTTTCGATTTTTTTCTTTTTTTTCTGCATTTGTCCAGGGAGGATTGGTGGGGGTTATGAGGTGTTATAATAAAAAGTAATAACTGTACTAAAGTGAAACCTTTTTAGATGTGAGTAGGCCCTCCTGGTGTTAAAAAACAGCCTCATGAATTTGGTGATGATCATTTTCTATTTCCATTAAGTCACTATTAATATTCCTTACTGACTTCAGTTGTAACAGAATTGTATTCTAAATGCTGTCACAAAGACAATACCAAAGAAACTTCTTACATGCTGTGATCAGACACTGTTTAATATCACTCTGGTTTTAACACGAAACCTACAGTAGACGTATCCAAAACAGTGTCTGACCTAAGAAATGTCATAAACTGTTTTTAACAGCATTGATCTTAAGATCTACCAGATCTTTAGCAATGAAGAACCAGCAGAAAATATAGATCTTTTACTAATCAAACAACTCTTATGTTCGCAAAAAAAAAAAAAAGTACATAAGTCATGATGGCCTTCTGACATCATCTGCTAAAATTAAGGAGGGAAATAAATAAAAAAAATGAGTTCTCTTGGATCTTTCTCATCCAAATACAAAAGGGCCATCAAAGGAAGTGACTGCTTAGTTTGCATTCAGAAGCCAATCTTCAGGCAGACCCTGGTCTCAGATAATCAGCCTTTTCTCTGGAGCCTTAATATTAGCTAGTCATCCACGCCTAGTTCCCATCACCATGAATCAAACCCGGACATGAACTTAACAATACATGATATTATCTCTATGGGTAACTATGAGTCTCTCTCATCCTAGAACATCATCCCAGCAAAAGCAGTGTAAATTCCTTTCTTCCTCAGTATGCTGCAAGAGCTCTGGTTTGTATGTGGCTGTAAAATGCAAAATAGTTTTCTAAAGAAAAGTTGCAAAATGTGCATGAGGCTACGTGCAGAGATGCTGAGGAGAGGCAAATCAAGTAACATATCAGACAGCACAGATACCAGCTGTGCTAGGGAAAATAAAACTTTATGGTCAAACATTCCCTAGTCCCACCCATAGCCTGCTTTGCCAATAGCAAACAAGAGCAAGGTGTGGTGTCTTTGTTCCCACCATTGTCCCGCCTTATTAGCCCACGTCACTGCCAAAGGTGTTGAGTTCAGTCTGTTCCTAGGTTCTCTGAGGAAAGATTCACCACCCCCTTCCTTTCTTCAAAGTTTCTCACTACAGGCTTCCAGAGGGAATCTGGAAACTCATTGCTAGACACTGCTGTTAAAATAGTACTTTTGAATTTGGCTTTCTTGTGGAGCTCAAGGCATCTCAGCTTCAGAATATGGCCCACTTCATTCATTATTAGCTAAAGTGAGTCAAGTTCCAAGGGTCCAAGTGCCCTGATGTCTGTAGCAGGGCAAAAGTATAAACACATTGACCTTCAGGAGAACTAACCATTGTTTTCAAAAGCATTAGTCAGAGCACCACCCCCTCCCCTGTGAAAGACACCTAAATATCCCTCAGAACAGATGGAAGTTAAAGATTACCAGTATTTAGTTCAAGGTGCATAGAAGTGAATGGGATGGGTGATTAATATCCTAACAGCATCTAGTATTTATTCTATGCAATCTGAGTATTTCCAGTTAAAGAAACCCCCCAATATTACTACAGTCTAAATCCAAGTAGAGAGTTACTCTTATTCTGCAACAACCTACTGTTACTAATCTTGGGCTTTTCTCCATGGCTACCGCATCAAAACAGGAGATAAAGATAAAAGAGAGAATTTCTGCCAATGAAATTTAAGTCCATCTCTGTGAAAAAATAGAACACCAAAAAGACAATACATATGTTCAGTGCCCTGCAGATTCTGCGAGATTTCTGTGACACTCTTTCTTGCAGAGTCCCCATGTTTACTCAATGCAGGGTGTGGTGGTGTTTGTCTTACGCAGAAATAACAAGAATGGTGAGTTTATAAACACAATTGTTTTCTTTGAAGGAGCACCTGCATTTGTTAGTGTTTTCCTCTCAAAGAAATATTTCCATTGGGAAAACACTAATTTTTCTCCCTGGCCAGCTCAAAAACAATTACAACATTTAACTAGTCCTGCTCCCTAAGGTTTCATGGCCCACCACTTCAAGACCTGCTGAGGATGTGAGAAGCATTCTTTGAGACACAAGGGATTCACCCTGTAGGACACCCATCCTTGACCACACCTACTATCAATGGGAGGTGTCACCTCCCAAAGGCAGAAATGTAGAAATTTAAAGATCAACCCTTAGGGGACATTTCAAAGATAGGGACATTACCTTTCAAACAAACTTCCCCCAAGGTTTTCCTGGTACCTTATTCTCCACAAATAGGGGTCTCTAAGCCAGAAATTCAATCTGAGGTTCTTGCTGTCAATGAATAATTTTGGAACAAGAGTAAAAATCCACTCTAAAATAGTGTAGTAAAGATGGCTCTTAAGATTTTTTGAGGCCAGCTCCTCACATAGGGAGCTGGAGGCAAGCTCTGGAAGGGGGCAGGGTCATTAAACCTCTTGCTTTCTGTCTTGTGAAGACACCAGAATCTTTCCTGTGAAGTAAACTTCAGACTCTACAAACGCTTGTTTCTTGATTGTTCCAGCCCACACAGTAAAGGTGACACAGCAGCACAGGGCAACAGTCAAAACAAAATAGGAGTGAAAAATAGTGACAACATTTTGTCACTTAGTAATTGTCAAATCAGGGCCTGCTTGCTACACACACACACACACACACACACACATATAGACACAGACACACACAGAGTTTACAAGCTTGCTGTAGTTTAATTTACTCTTGGGCATAGCTTGGGAATGTTTCTAGAATAAAGCCTTTTGGTGCAGGAGACAGCTTGGGAAAGGATTTGCCTCTGGGGGCAGGAAACGGTTTCAATCCCTCCTGTGTCTCTTGGAGGAATTTTTAATTTTAAAGCATTGATGATTATGCTAATTAGTGCTTACCCTCAAATGCCAATGGAATATAAATGTTGATAGTAGCTAAAACATACCGCAAATGTGCAGCAAACTTTTCCTCCAGAGAGTCATCTACATTACATGATAGCTTAGCTGGGAAGAAGCAGCATTCTTCACATGGAAAAGCAAAGTAACTGTATCTTCAATCCATGTCATCCCAAGGTGGCACTTCTAGACTCTGCTGGGTAGCCATGAATCAATTGTTACTTTATCACTTGGGCATGCTTTTCCACATAATATGTTAAAATTTAATTCTCAGGTAAACAGGAACCTTTCCCTCTGATCAGATGTACGAGCAACATCAAAGATTTAGCTAGGATTCCTCACATAAACTTGTATGACCAGTGAAGCTGTTTTAAGTTTGAACCTACAAGAGGCTGAAGACCCTGGCTCCAAAAGTGGATTTGAAGGGGGCTATTCAGGTGCTTGCATTGCTTGCCAGTTTGAAACTCAAGGACCGAATAGCTTGCAAAGTTCTGAATTCTTCACATGCTTGGTAGAACAGAGAAAGGAACTCAGGAATATGTTGCCACAAAGTAGTATTTGTTAAGTGTCATCCTGCTTCTGGTAGAACAATCAAAGCAGACTCCTAGGTAGGCACTCCTCCATATAAGAAGAGAGAAGCACAGCTTGGGTATTCTGTGGTAGATGCTGGACTTTAGCACTCACTCCTTTTTGGCTTCCCCTGGACCCAGGTCTCCAGATGTGAACCCCATTTCGTCTTCCAGCAAGAGAGAAGTTAGCTTGTGTGCATATGGCTAAAATGCTAGGTCAAGTTATGGCATCTTGTTCTTGTCACAAGGAGTCTATTTGCTCCTGCAAGCACAAGGATTCTCCATGCTGATAACTGATACATAATACAGGCAGATTTCTTAGTACCTCTCCCGCTTTTTT